TGTAGCATAATTGTCAATAATCTAAACCAATAACTATCAATGTCAAACTACAATTCTAATTGTTTTTTAAAACTTTTTTTCGTTCGATCATTATTCAGTGTTTGACAATTTGCAACCATAGAGAACGACAATTTTGCCAAACAATTTACTTCTTGTTATGTTTTGGCCTATCAACTCGTTGGTTCTCGCGTGATGATTGCATGGTAGTTTATATATATATATATATATATATATATATATGCTTGTGTGTATGTATACATAAAGAGAGGAAAAAGGGAGAAGAAGAAGAAGAAGAACACCAAAGTTTAGAGCATAACAACCATGTAGGTGTCTCATTTCATTAAGCCATCAACTTTTTATATAATAATTCATACAACCCTTCAATTCTATAACATAACAATTGATTAAATAGAAGGCAAATGAAGGGACTAATTTTTTAATGGCCATTATTCTAAATAATTATAACACTCCCCCTTGGCCATTAAATAATTATACTCATGCCTCGTTAAAAACCTCGCTAGAAAAACCCTGTGGGAAAAACCTAGTCGAGGAAAAGAGTACATGTAGGATCAAACATGTGTTGCATCGGTTGCCTCGTTAAAAATCTTAGCCTAAGAAAAACCCAGTGGGAGAAAAACTTAGCTAAGGGAAAAAGAGTACAACCATAAGCCTTCCGGGCATCATCTTCAAGATTTAAAAATCTCCTGGACCAAAATTTATCGCTCCCCCTGAAGACAACAGTCTTCCTAGCCTCCGCATCCCAATTTTATAAACATACTTCTCAAAAGTGGATGTAGGCAAGGACTTAGTGAACAAATCTGCCAGATTTTCACTAGAGCGAACCTTTTCAATGAGTATTTCACCACTCTTCTGGAGTTCATGTGGGTAAAAGAACTAACTTAGGAGCAATATGTTTAGTAAGGCCTCATTTAACGTACCCATTACTCATCTGTGCAACACATGCCTCATTGTCCTCATATAGGACAATCGGGGAAGCAACATTGCTCATTGTTCCACATGAGCGATGGATATGCTGTATCAGTGATCTCAACCATATGCATTCGCGTGTGGTTTCATATAAAGCAATTATCTCCAAGTGATTAGATGAGGTAGCAACTAAGGTCTGTTTAATGGACCTCCAAGATATAGTTGTACCTCCACAAAGAAAAACATAATCAGTTTGCGATTTAGCAGTATGATGGTCAGACATATAACCAGCGTCTGAATACCCTATCAAAATAATGTCCTGGTTGTTTTCAAAATAAAGACCAAGGTCTTTTGTCCCTTGGAGATATCTAAAGATATGCTTTATTCCACTCCAATGTCTTCTGGTTGGAGAGACACTAAATCTAGCAAGTAAATTCACTGAAAAGATAATATCAGGTCTTGTGCAATTAGCCAGGTAAAGCAAGGCTCCAATAGCACTTAGGTAAGGAACTTCAGGTCCTAGTAGTACCTCCTCATTATCCTTAGGTCTAAATGAGTCCTTTTCCGCTTCAAGGGACTGGACTACCATTGGGGTGCTAAGGGGATGAGATTTATCCATATAGAATTTCTCCAATAATTTGTTAATGTAGTTAGCTTGGTGAATGAAAATTCCATTTGAAAGATGCTCGATCTGCAGGCCAATGCAGAACTTGGTTTTTCCCAAGTCTTTCATTTCAAATTCTACTTTTAAGCATGAACATGCTTCTATAAGGTCTTCCTTTGTCCCAATAATGTTCATGTCATCGACATAGACGAATATAATGCAGAAGCCATTAGATGACTTCTTAATGAATATACAAGGGCAAATATCATTTTTAACATATCCCTTCTTCAGGAGGAATTCACTCAAATGGTTATACCACATTCTACTAGATTGCTTCAAGCCATATAATGACCTTTGAAGTTTGATGCTATACATGTTTCGATTTTTATCCCCATATTGAAATTTTGAATACCCTCGGGTATTTTCATGTATATATCAGCATCTAGTGACCCATAAAGGTAAGCTGTCACTACATCCATCAACTACATATCTAATTTCATACTTACTGCCAATGATATTAAATAGAGGAATGAGATGCCATCAATAACAGGAGAGTATGTTTGATCAAAATCAATTCCGGGTCTCTGCGTGAACCCCTGAGCTACCAATCTCGCTTTATATCTAACCACCTCATTGTTTTCATTCCTCTTCCGTACGAATACCCACCTAGATCCTACTGGGATCACATCTTTTGGGGTAAGTACGGTGGGACCAAAAACTTTTCTTTGATTAAGCGAGTTGAGCTCTGCCTCAATTGCCTGTTTCCACTTCAACCAGTCAGAGCGCTTCCGGCACTCGGTTATTGACTTTGGTTCTGGATCCAGATTATTTTGTGGAATGTTACAAGCAACTGCATAGGGAAAAGTGACGTTGACGACTATTAAATCTCTGTTATATGTTTCTCCTGTATCAACAAAATTTATGTCCGTTTCTATATTGACATCAACCAGATCATCGTCATTTCCCAAAATATTTTGATCTGGATGTTCCGCATCCCTAGTGTTCGTATTATTTAGAGCACGTGCAGGTTCACTGGGTTCTCCGTCTTCGGGATGACTGTCTTCAGGACGGTTAACATTTTTCTGGAGTGACTGAGATATTCTACCAATTCTCGTCTTCCGTGGATTTAAATCTTTTGTACCAAGTAGTCTCCCGCGCTTCTAGCGATGGGGAGTGTCAGTGTGCATACTTGGTCCCACGGGGACTTCAACTCTCGAAGGAGCATTCACAACAGGGATATGAGACCTAGTCACTCCTTTGTTATCAGTAAAAGCATCTGACAGGTTATTTGCTAAATTTTACAAATTAATAATTTTCTGAACTTCTAGTTCAGTTTGACTAGTACGTGGGTCTAGATACTGAAGATCCTTTTCATCCAATGAGATTTCTCGGCATTTCGTTAAATAAGGTTTTTTATCTCCCCCTAATGCCGGGAAATGATCTTCATAAAAAATGCAGTCAGCGTACCTCGCGGTAAACTGATCTCCTGTCATGGGCTCTAGGTATTTAATGATAGAGTGGATTCATAACCAACATATATACCTAGTTTTCTCTGCGGGCCCATGGAGATACGGTTTGTTGGTGGTCTAGGGGTATAGACTGCACACTCAAATACACGCAGATGGGAAACGTTAGGTTCTACACCACGTAGTAGTTGCAAGGGGGAATAATCATGATATGCACTAGGTCGGATTTGAATTAAAGCTGCATCATGTAATACTGCGTGTCCCCAACATGAGACTGGTAAACCAGACTTCTGCAGTAATGGTCTAGCGATTAATTTAATACGCTTAACCAAAGACTTAGTCAAGCCATTCTGAGTATGGACATAAGGTACAAGATGCTCCACTTTGATGCCCAAGGTCATACAATAATCATTGAAAGCCGTTGATATGAATTCTCCAGCATTATCCATTCTTATTGATTTAATTGGATAATCTGGGAATTGGGCATTCAACTCAATAATTTTTGCAACAAATTTAGCGAAAGCTTTGTTCCTCGTGGATAGTAGACTAACATGAATCCAACGAGTGGAAGCATCAATAAGGACTATAAAATATCTAAATGGTCCAGAAGGTGGACTAATAGGTCCACAAATGTCACCCTGCAATCTCTGCAGAAATATAGGCGATTCATGTCCAACCTTAGTACGCGACGGGCGTACAATATATTTACCTTTCGCACAAGCCACACATGTAAACATATTTGGCGAAAGTACTTGAGATCTCGACAAGTTATGTCCAACAGAATTAGATATGATTCAACCCATCATATTCTGCCCAGGATGACCCAGACGGTCATGCCACATTTGAAAAGAATGTGGATTTTTGAGTTTCACGGTTAGTGAAACAAATGAATCATTGGGTTGTATATAGGTATAATATAACCCAGAGGATAAAGAGGCAAGTTCCTCAACCTCCTGCTTTTGACCAGTGATCAACTTAGTCATGATCAAGAACTCCTCTTTGTTCTTAGTCTTGGTTTCAATATGGAAACCATTTGAACGAATATCCTTGAAACCCAGCAAGGTTCGTTTAGATTGAGGGTACAACAAAGCATTTTCAATTAGTAGCTTTGTACCCTTTGGGAGGATGATGGATGCTCTTCTGGAGCCCACTATTTGTACTTGATCATTAGAAATGGTAGTAATATCACTACTTGATTTGTTTAAGGTACGAAAAGACATCATATCCGTTAGGATAGTATGCGTGGTTGCACTATCCACCAAGCACAATGTTTGTTCATGCTCCATTGTGCGAACAACAAATTTGCAATTTGTAAGACCTTCGGGGTTACTTCTCGAACAGTGGTTGTTCGTTACTAATTAACCAATGTCTTAGCACAAAAAATATCATGTGAAGGTTAAAAATGAGGTGAACCATTCATCATGATAAAATAGAAAACATAGAAATCAAGTCATAAAATGATATGAAAAAACATAAGTTCATAATCCAAAAGAAACGATACAAAAAATAGGTTCATAAACCAAGAGCATAAAAACTGATCATTCTTGATCACCAAAGTCTTCAAGCTCATATTTTAAAAGGTCATCATCATCATTCATCACTGCATTTGCTTCAGGCAAATCAGTGTTGGTGTGATGAGAATCTGAGATTCTTTTCCTGACGGTTGCTCATCATTTTTTCTTTGCGTCATTTTATAAGCTTTAACCAGATGCTTTGGTGTGCGACACGTACGAGACCAGTGTCCCGTACATCCACACCGATAACAGGTTTGTGACCTTGATGAACCTTGATCACTTTGTTTCTTATCTTGGGCTCGATAATTATTATTGTCTTTGTATCTCTATTGGACATCAATTATAGTCATTGCACAACGCGCAACGCGCGTGTCTCGGCTAGTACTTAAAGATATGATTCACAAAACACTATCATTTTAAGCCTCAAATGTGCAAAATTGCAAATTGTCATAATTTTGACCCAGATTTCCAGAATCGGAGCCCCGAGCCCACAATTTTCCGCCTTTGTGCTTTGCCAATCCATTCGTCGGATAGTCTATACTCTAAACCCCTCTCTGAATCGGATGGGCTGTAACGGCCATTTATCTCTCCTCCGCTATCGCCACCGTGCACGGTGGTTCAAAATCCTAACCATTACTCAGTCGAAGCTCTGAACTTGCGGTTGCGGAGTATCTTCTATTCGTTTTTCTGTATTATCTGTTTGGCCTATTGACTCAATGAACGAACCAAGACTGCAGAACCCTAGAGCGGCCATTGGAGGCAGCTTCGCTAGCTCTAAGCAAATGTCAAACGATACATCTGCGGGAGCTTCAAAGTCCGCGCCGACCTCAATACTCGACCGGTTTAAGACCATGTTGAAGGAGCCAGATGAGGAGGTTAGGGTTTCTTTGGAAGATGGTGGTATTTCGCCTTCCACTATGGATATGGTTGTGAGGCTTTATGAGATTGTGTTGTCGGAATTAACTTTCAATTCGAAGCCTATCATCACTGAACTAACCATAATTGCTGGGGAGCAGAGAGAGCACGGCCAGGGCATTGCGAATGCAATCTGTGCTCGTATTCTGGAGGTCCGTATTTGCCGTGTAATTTTATGCGGTAAAATTGGAATTTGTTCCTTTATTATTATTATTATTTTTGAATTTTGAATTGTATTATAGTTTAAGAAAGCTGAAATGTGCAATTTGAACTTTTGGTCTTTTATCATTGATCTCTGTTGGGCACAAAGGGAAAAAGTAAATAAATTCTGAGAACAAAAGACTACATGTCCAGTAAGACATCTGAATTAAGCACGAGCAAACTCGTAGTATTATATGCATCATGAATTTGGGAAATAAAGTTTAGGGCATGTATTCATATAAGAGTCATGTGTAGCTAAAATTTAACTGTTTCTTATGGAAACACACCAAGCAGTAAATAATTAATTTGGGGTGCAGCAGATGATTCTTCAACATCTCAGCAACTGCTGTTCCAGTGATGCGCCTTAAATATTAATTTGGGTATTGCTTTGGTCATTAAATTGGTTCATAATGATACATAATCATAATTTTATGCCTGAAGCATTTTTCTTGGGCTGTTGTTTGAGATAAGACTGGAATGTTGACATGTTGGTTCAGAACAATTTTATCAACTGCATTCTTGTAATAACCTTTACTGAAAATGATGCTTTATTTATTTATTTATCTCTTCCTTCACTATCTTATTCTATAGGCTTCAGAGTGGTTTAGTTTTCTGCAGTTCTTTTTACTTAATTCTCAAATTTGTCTTCAGGCCCCAGTTGAGCATAAATTGCCATCTCTTTACCTTCTTGACAGTATTGTAAAGAATATAGGCAGGGAATATATAAGGCACTTCTCTGCCCGTTTGCCTGAGGTGAGTATTTTAAATCATGTCCATTGACAGCTCTATTTGATAGATAGTTACATTCTTTTAAGATCAGTATGGTATGTGTATTCCCTTAGGTGTTTTGTGAGGCCTACAGACAAGTCCAGCCCAACATGTTTGCTGCCCTGCGCCACCTATTTGGTACCTGGTCAACAGTTTTCCCATCATCTGTTCTCCGCAAGATTGAGGCTTGCCTCCAGTTTTCCCCATCCACAAGCCATCAATCTTCTGGCTTGACCAACTTGAGAGCTTCTGAATCTCCTCGGCCAGGTCATGGAATACATGTAAATCCAAAATATTTAGAAGCGAGAAGACAATTAGTAGGGCATTCAACTATAAATGCTGTAAGTTTTTAATTCCCTCAAAACAGCCTCTGCATCAGTGTAATTGAGATGCATGGTATGAAATGGGTTTGCAACTCTTAGCTAAAAAGCAGTTTAATGTAATTGAGTTCTACACTAACAACTGAAAAATCTTTTATAATGGTAAAACTCTTTGCAGGTAGGAGCTGAAAAGTTGAGCTCTACTGGTCGTGCCGGACTTATATCTTCTGACATAGATGCTGTAAAATTGCTTCCTACTGCAGCTGCAAGGACTGTACGGCCATCTTCTCCTTTTGGTGTGGGACGAGCAAGGTCACTCTCACCACCAGTTGATGATTTTGCTGTAGAAAGTTCTCCACAAATTTCTGAAAGGCCATCACCATCTCATTCTAGAATAGATTATGGGCTTAATGGAGTAATGGCCGGAGATGATGAGACAATTGACTGGCACAGAAATCTTTTACATGATGATAGCAGTCAGAGGTTGGAAAACTCTGTTGCATATAGTGTCAAAAAAGGAATTGACCTTCAAGGACCTAGAGCTCTGATTGATGCATATGGAATAGATGAAAGGGAAAAAGCATTTAATTATCATCATCATAAGCTTGGTCAGCCAGATGCAAATGGTATCGGCAAAAGGGTAGGTGTTAAAACATGGCAAAATACTGAAGAGGAAGAATTTAATTGGGAAGACATGAGTCCAACACTTGGAGATCCTAGTCGGCGTAATGATTTTTCATCATCTATGCCACCATCTAGGAGATTTATAACCGGACCCTCTGTTGGTTCTCTTCAAGCCATATCTGCTATCAATGATTCCAGAAGGAGCTTATCAGATCAGGCCCAGCATTCTTTAGTTAAGGTCTCTTCCAATGTGGATGATATTAACTTCATTGTTGTATGGTTTACCTACGTTTGCATTGATTTTTGTTTTCTATACCTTGCTTTTAAATGATCTTCATTGTCTTTTAACTTTTATCACAAAGCCGTAACCTGTGCAGAACACTGCCATAGTGATGATCTTTTGATCTTCTTTTCCTTTTGTTTTTTACACCCTGATAAATTTCATTTGGGAGACTATTCTTGTCATCACTAACTGGCTAACTGCTTCAGTTATATGGCCAAGAAAAATAGTTAAATGAGAAAAACCTAGTACAGGAATACAGTTGGTGCCTTTTCACCAATTCATTTGATACTCGAGGCTTAAATACTATCGTTTGCGTTTTGTTGTTGTTTTCTGTTGTTATTGTTGCTGTTATGAAATGTTATTTGGTCCTAAAAGAGAATATTTATTGAAAACTAATTTCTGAACTGCAGTCTGGACGAGGGATAACTAGTAAGATTCCAGGATTCTATGAGGAGGCATCTCTTATTTCAGCTCCAAGTTATAGTCAAGAACCTCAGTTTCTGCCACAAGATTTCCCACAGCAATCCCATCACCGTATTAGGGTTGAAGGAGGTGGAAGAGCTCCCTCAATGCTTTCAGGAACCGGACTTTCAACGAAAGTGGGTGAGCAAAAGCTTCATTTAGTTGGAAATTTAACAACTGCAAATGGAAAATTTTGGAGGCCCCCAAGTGTTGCTTCAAGAGTGAATCCTGGTTTTAACTCTTCAGTTCAGGATGTTCAAGCAGTTAACACAGGGCTTTCAACTGGTGCATGGCCCACAATAAGCATGCACAATCTGCCTCGTTTCCCTGTTCAACATCCTGGTGCAGTCCCATTAAATCATCAAAGGTCTGGACAAATGTCTCTATCACAACCACAGTTGCCGTGTCATGATGTTCTACAGAATAAGGTTCCACCAGCTGCAATTGCAGTTCCAACTCATACTCTAATGCCACCATCGAATTATGGCTACACTCCACAAGGTCAAGGTGTATCTGGTGTGCAATCTACTCTGCCTATGGTGAATATCCCAAATACATCTTTGCAGTTCACTGGAGCAGCCTTGGCACCCATAGCTAGAGTTCCAACTCCTGCTGCACCTCAAATGATGCCTACACTTCAACCTTCTGGTCAAGGCACTCAAAGTGCTCCCCAAGGTGGTACTTTTTCCAATTTGATCAACACTTTGATGGCTCAAGGTTTGATTTCATTATCAAATCAAGCTCCTCCAGAGGTATTATATTCCTTTTATATGTTAAAACTTTCTGTTTAGTTGATTTTGCAAAAAATTCTTACCTTTGTGATACAAAGTTTAGGACTCTGTGGGCACTGAGTTCAATATGGAACTCCTAAAGGAGCGTCATGAGTCAACAATAACTGCTCTATACTCTGCCCTTCCTAGGCAGTGCAAAACATGTGGTCTTCGATTCAAATCCCAAGATGCTCATAGCAGTCACATGGATTGGCATGTAACCAAGAACCGGCTATCTAAAAACCGCAAGCATAATCCTTCTCGTAAGTGGTTTGTAAGTCTTAGTATGTGGCTGAGTAGTGCAGAGGCATTGGGCACCGATGCAGTTCCTGGATTTCTACCTCTTGAAGATGTTGTGGAGAAGAAGGATGATGATGAACTAGCTGTTCCTGCAGATGATGAGCAGAATGCTTGTGCTTTATGTGGTGAGCCTTTTGATGATTTTTATAGTGATGAGACTGAGGAATGGATGTACAGAGGGGCTGTCTACATGAATGCACCAACTGGGTCAACAACTGGGATGGATAGGTCTCAATTAGGTCCCATTGTGCATGCAAAATGCCGGTCCGAGTCTAGTAGCAGTTGCATTGAGGCTTCGAAAAAACATGATGAGGTGAGTCTTATGTGAAATATATAAGTTCCATTAACTTAGTAGAAGTGGTTCATGGTCAATAATAAAACTCTTTACTCAAATTTATGTACAGGGTTATACAGATGATGGAGGTCTGAGGAAACGAATGCGCAGTTAGCTTATTTAGATCAGCTTGTAGGTGATTTGTAATTTTATCTGAGGGTCCATAATTGGTGGTTAACATGCCTGCCTGATTCATGTACTTGTACATATCAGATTTTCTTGCACAAAAAGGTTACAAAATAGATTTGCAACATTTCTCTGGGCATGTCTATCTTATCCTCACATTCAAATTTGCATGGTCAGTGTTGGTTGAGTCTGTTTCCTAATGTCCTTTGATAGGCTAAAGGTTGTTTCAGAGCCTTAGTTTGTATATTGCTGCTTGCTCCATCAGGAATATATAATCCATTTTCTGCTGTGGCTTAGCAGTTTTTTGCAGGAGGATGTGTTGTGTGACTACTACTGCTATTGGCCTGCTGAAGAACAGAAACCATTGAGTAACCCTCAAAGTTGATTATTGAAATTTGAAAGTGGAACGAATATGTGAGAGTGAGTTGCATTTTGGATGTGGCTGATTTCTGTGTTTTCAACTCACAACTGCGTTTTGTTTTTGGCTGGCTAGTCTTTCTTAATGCAAAAATATGACATACCTGTATTTAGTGACCGTGAGTAACAATTTTCTCAAGTGGTTTCAATAATACGGTATTTTCACTTCTATTATGTTCGAATGAAGTTTTTTTTTTTTTTTTTTTTTTCCTCCATTGGCTGCCCTGGCACCAACGGTAGAAATGATGGGTGCCAATGATGTCCCATTTTTTTTTTTTTTTTTTTTTGAATATTGTTAACTCTATTACAATGCAGTATCTGTTCATAACTATTTTCTCAACTTTCTGGAACACAGAGTGTTAATAGCACCTTCACTGAGGCTTGAATCCACAACCTCTCATGTGGGAGTTCAACTTGGTACTATGAGACCACAAGGTCCTGATAATGATGTCCCTAATTAGGAAAGTAATCCTGATACGATGAACCAGATGGATGTTCAATGTACATCTTGAATCCTGGCCCTCTCGGCCTCTCCCCTCCAAGAAAGGGAAGGAAAGAAACAAAAAATCCTCAAAAATGAATAAGCTTACAACCAAAACATTAGCCTATTCATTGATGGTTTGGTCAATAATAACTGTGAGGGAGAGTTGGGATTAAAACCTAATCCAGCTTTTATCACCAATTGGCCTTTGCTCATTCATCATTCGATTCATTATTTTTGATAAATTAGTGAAGGTGGCTATGACCTTACACAATTTTTATTCTCTTAATTTCTCTTGCTTTGCACTTTTCTTTGAGTAAGAGAACTTGTTTCTCGAACTAGCCTATTGTGCTAATCATTTTAGAATTCTTGAGCACAATGCTCTTGAAAGATTTGCGTTCGGCCAAGAGTCGAGTATTCTCTTCCATTAATCTAGCTTGAGTGCTTTTTTACATTTTTGAAGTCTTTCGTCAGTTTCATAACGAAATCCATAGAATCTTCACTGGTACTAGAATCAGAATCACATTTGGAAGAAGAGGGTTGAGAGTTTACATCTTCGTCCTTAGTCATTAAGCACAAGTCATCTTCTGATTCTTCTTTGTTGAAAAGGCAGATGAGTCCCTTCTCATCTCCTGAGCTCTCACTATCTGAGCTAGAACTTGAGGAGCAAGATTTGTTAATCTCCTTTTTGGTTGACTCTTCGGTCACCAGTGCCTTTCTCCTCCTATCACCTCTTGAGTGGTTCTTTGACAATCTACCGCTCGTCTCTCCAGGTGTGTTCCACGAATCATCTTTGCTGGCACTCCTTGGTTGCTCTTAATGTTTTCGTACTATAGGGTACGGGCAATCTACTTTGTAGTGGTCAGGCTTTCTTCTGTTATAGCACGTACAGATCTGCATCTCCTCATAGTCTTTACTTTTCAAGGCACTTGACCTCGGGGTGTCTCCGGTTTGAGGATGAGGGAGTTGAAGAGTTTCCTTGGATGTTGTTCTTCCTCATGAACCTTTTGAACTTCCTAACAAACATAGCAAATTGCTCGTCAGTTAAAAAATCAAAAGGGTTAGAGTTTGACCTTGATGACGTGGATATCTGATGGTCAGCAACTAGAGTTGCACTCTTTGGTTCGCTGTTCTCACATCTCGGTTGATGCTCAAACTCGTAGGTTTTGAGGTTGCTGAACAACTTGTCGATTGGTGTAGCCTTTAGATCTTGGTGATCTCTCATGAATCACGGATATCACCTTCATCTCCCATTGCTCGGTCAATCCTCGGAGATCCTTGAGATTGACCTCTTTTTATGTCAGATTTTTGCCTAGATCCGCAATCTCTCCAAGCAACTTTGTGAATCTAGTTTCCATCTCTGAAATAGATTTCCATCAACCATTCGTAATTCCTTAAACTTCTTCATGGCAATGGTTAGCTTGTTTTCTTTGAGTTGTTCATCGCCTTTACCAATCTGCATAAGAGCTTCCTAGATGTCTTTAGTTGTCTTGCATTTACGGATCCTTGGGAAGATGGTGTCATCTATGGTTTTGAACAAGATGTCCTTGACGATGTTGTCCAAGTTATTCTCGTTCTATCTTCGGGTATCGAAACTTGCTTCGACTTAGGCACATATTTTGGAGCATCCAGTCCTTGTGCTACTACGTTGGCGTTGACCATCATAATTTGAACAGGCCCATCTGGATAACGTCCCACATTTCATCGTGTAGGGCGGAAAAATGAGCTTGCATTCGAACCTTCCAATCATCAAATTTGTTTAGATTGAACATAAGGTTCTTGGATAAATTATGATCCATATTAAAATATTCGTGCCAAAAAATGATTTTGAACTTTTAAAAATGAGAATCACTAGGCAATATACACAGAATGTTTACCGTTCAAGTAACTTGCTCTGATACCACTTGTTGGTCCCGAGAGGATACTAAGTGAATGATATATATATATATATATATATATATATATATATATATATATATATATATATATATATATATATATATATATATATATATATATATATATATATATATATATATATATATATATATATATATATGCTATGTATCCTGTGAGAACACTTCCGAGAGAAATAAAAACCAATTTCAACTTTACATTGGTAAAGATTGACGAATCTGATCAGTTATTTTTTTTATATATTTTTTTAAGACGCGGTGACATTTTCATAATTATCATCAACTCCAATGTGCAAACTTTAACACTTAAATATGCAATTTTTAACAACTAAATATGCAAACCTGGTAAATTTTATAAAATCAATGAAAAGACTAAATTTTAAATCTAAACTGTAAATGTTAGACCTTAAGTAGTAAAAAGTGAACCACTGGACCAAATAAAATAAAAAATTCAGTCATAAAACTCTAAAATCGAAACCCTAATTGCAATGTACTTTCGCATTTTTGCAAGTGCAAAATTTTAATACTAAATATGCAAAATGTTAACACTAAATGTGCAAAACGTTAATATTTAATGTGCAAACCTGGAAAAGTCTAAAAATTACAGATTTTAGTGTTCACGTTTGCATAGTAAAGTTGGTGGTAATTACAAAACTGCTATTGCGTTTTATTTTTAAATCTAATCTGGTGCGTTCAATTTTTTCAGATGTGAGGTTGTGATTAGTTCTTAGTTTTCTCCTACGGACTTTTTCTCGTGTGATCCAATATATATATATATATATATATATATATATATATATATATATATATATATATATATATATATATATATATATATATATATATGAAAGATCAAATGCTAACGGGGTCCTCTTGTAAAAAGTGAGGATTGATTGGTGAATTGAAGTATGTGCTCCATCTCAACTAAAAGCCTAAGCTGAGCTGATAGTTGGATTGCACATTAATGGCTATATGCTCACACGCCCCCTCACGTGTGCGGTGGGTTCCAAGCAACACGTGGACCGTAGTCACTTATGGGTAGCGGTGAGATTCGAACCCATGACCTTTAGTTTGGCTCTGATACCAAATTGAAGTATGTGCTCCATCTCAACTAAAAGCCTAAGCTGATAGTTGGATTGCACATTAATGGCTATATGCTCACATGGTGTAGCCAAATAATGATAGTGAGTGTACAGGTGAACAATGTCGTTCCGTTTAGGATTGGCATTATAACACGTACTTGTGCGATTACCTAACTTCTAGACGCTAAAGCCTTGAACCCATAAGAACCCAAGTGATAGATATATTAAGAATCGACCCGAACCGACTCGATAGTGCGGAGCAAGGGCGGTACCGCATACCCGCCCCGGCGCGAGGCTTTGACACGTGGCCTCGGCACGAGGTGGACCGGACCTTCAAAGGAGCTCGGTCCGACTTCCGGCCCCGAGCTCGGTCCAGCTTCGGACCCGTTGCCTGGTCTCCGGACCAGGAGCGGTCAACACGGGGGCAACCGCTCCCCCCGATTTAGGAGGACACTTAGGGGGCCATGGCTTGTATAAAAGGCCCTCCTTATGTCATAACAAGACATTCTATTTGACTTACACACTTTGTACTAGCAAAACCATTGTAATAGCATATTTACGGCATATAATACGATATACGGTCTTCACGACCTATCACGATATCGTTTCTGTCTATTTACTATTCGTGTTCTTATCCAGGTTTAATAATTCGGACCACCCCGGGTTAATTAAATCCATCACCAAGAACACTAAAAAATACTCAAAAATATAGATAGACAAATAAACACTAGTTAACACACTTAAAGTATGAAACAAACACAATAAAAAAGATAGGGCTCAATATAAGAAATATCACTTTCTAGATGCTATATATAATAGCCTTGGGGATTGGGGAAACCAAACAATGGTATAAATTTTTGTTTAATGCTACATGATGCTTAATAGGATGATGAGTGCGTTACTTAATTAAGTTTAGCTCAAACTCTTTTCTTCTAGAACTTGTTTGCTTATCAATTTTAATGGTATAAATTTTTGTTTTGTTAACAATCAGATACTAATAGAATTTGGGGGAAGTGAAGGTGTCTGGGTTAATAGACCCGGCAACCTCGACATGGGATATTGGGATATGCCTTTGCTTAATGAGCTATTTGTGCCAGACGATATTGACCGAATTATTAAAGTCCCTATAATAAGTCCGACCTATGAAGATTTGTGATATTGGTACGGTGACTCCAAAGGAGTTTATACAGTAAGGGTTCTTGCTGTGAGCTGATGGGAGCCATATCTATACACCCCAATGATTTTTCATCATGGAATATAATTTAGAACCTGAAGGTACCCCCAAAGTGGAAAACTTTTTTGTGGAGAGTTGTGAGTGGTGTGCTTCCCACTATGGACAACTTAATAAATAGGAGGGTAGATGTTCTCTAGCATGCCCTTTGTGTGGTCTTTGCTCTGAAAATATTTTGCATACTCTAGTGTCGTATGATTATTCTAAATGTGTATGGAATATTTCTGGATTGATGGCGCAGTGTATGGCGGGAGATGGTTTTGGTGTGTGGCTCCCAGCCTTGTTCCAGAAAGTTGATGACAACCATTTCTCTTCTATGTTGGCCATCATGTACCATCTATGGAGGCAACGCAATGAGGCGGTTTGGGAGCTTCAATTGGGGATCCCACGTCGGGTGCATGCTATGGCCACGACTGCCCTTGTTGCGTGGCGTGCGACGGTGGTTCCTTCGGCTCCGCAGCAGGTTACGGTGGCAGCGGTTGACGATGCACGACAGCCAGTTGGGGATGCTGCACAGTCGAATGTTCGCCTTCGGTGTTCCTTTGATGCAGGATATGTTTCCGCATCGGGAGTGGGGGTCTTTGGCCTCATTTTGCAGCATGCGGATGGTGGTTTCGTTGCAGCCAAGAACGGTCCTCTACCAACCTGCCAGGGCCCTTTCATGGCGGAGGCTTTCGCATGTAAGGAGGCTCTTACCTGGCTCATAGATCGTGGCGTTACGGAAGTTGTCCTCTGGTCGGATTGCACTAATCTTTGTCACGCCCTTACTACTTCAGCGACAGAGTTTCCCTCCTATGATGGTGTAGCTGTTTCAGCATGTCAGGATTTGCTTAGTTCGTTGATTTCGTACTCTGTTGTTTACATTCCTCGTACATCTAATTTTTTAGCTCATTCGTTAGCATTAAACGCCTATTCACAGGCAGGCATTATGGCATGGGAGGATAATCCTCCTATGTTTGTTTCAGCTTTGATTGATTAATATACGCAGCAGTTTACCTTAAAAAAAAAAAGATACTAATAAAATATTACAAAGTAGAAATAATAAACAACACAAACAAGTGATCATCTCATTATATATTTATTTAATGAGAAAGATTACATGGATATCTATGTTTAATGGTTGTCATATGATGTTGATCGAACACCATTTTTCTTTAGAAAATCATCATCCAAAATTAAAGTTAACTATTAAAATGTTGGGTCAGAATAAAATTTGTACGAGTGGTGTGTGTGTAAAACATGCACTGGATTTAGAACATGTGACATGTACAAATTTTAAAACTTACCACAATCGTGTAAGACTTTCCCATATAATACATGTTATACATTAGTGTCTTAATTATGTGGTGCAAGTTAATTGACTTGAATAACTAGAAGTAGTTATTCTATTGGGCCTTGTGTCTAAAATAAAACATATATTGATGAGATACATGATATGATATATATTACCTTAAGCTACGGTACTCCTGCTTAGAATAAACCAGTACACCATTTAGGGTTCTGAGTCAAGTATGAGACAAAACAACTAACCCTATTATGCATATCTACCGTTCAAGAGGCAATACAACAAGATATCAACTATGACTGGAGATCTAAACTACTTCAACTTTCGCTACTATAAGGTTAGATTTCTCGTGAATTATACTCTATATGATTAGATTATATTTAGATCTAACAAATCCACCAATCACTATTACCCAAAAAAATCAATAAATTTTTTTTATAAGCCTTGGCTTAATAAAATGTTATTAGTGGCATTGGGCGACATTTTTCTTTCATTTGTTGACATTTAATCTGATCAGTAAGAAGCATGTAGCAAAAATATTACTCCATAGAAGGATAATTAGTATTTTCCTTGTAAATAATAACTTTTAAACTATAATTAGTATTTTCCTTGTAAATAAGAACTTTTAAAATCTCTTTACTACGTATTTGATGTGGTTAAACAATTAATATACGTGTGTAATAAACAAATTACCACCTTTGATTTTGAATTATGATTATGGAGTTACTAATGATATAATTAATTATTTTACTTAGATAGCAATCTTCATTTAATAATTATCAATTGATTTTAATAACATTTGTATAGTCTTTTAAATTTAGAAAATAGAATATAACTTCAATTTTTTTTATTGATATAATATTTCATAGATTTCAATATTTAACATTAGTAGAAGTTATGTTGTTTTTATTTTTAACCGACTCCATTTGATAGGAAATATATCTCGGATATACGATCCTAGATCGATCCAAATTCGAATTTTATGCCTATATAAAGAGCCCTAGCTCTTCATTAGAAAGGGAGCCTTCTCACTTCTCTTCTACCACACTAAAGAAGAAGAAGCTCTCTCTTCTCCTGGAGGTCTTTCTTCTCTTCTCTACCAGATTGAATAACTGATACAATCCTGAGGTTGTATGGGTTGCTCTTCTTCGAGTCAAGAGCCAAACTCCATGGCTGTGCTTCGAGTGACAGCCAAACTCCCAATAACTATACTTCAAGATACAACCCTGAGGTTGTATGGGTTGCTCTTCTTCGAGTCAAGAGCCAAACTCCATGGCTGTGCTTCGAGTGACAGCCAAACTCCCAATGACTATACTTCGAGCGATAGTCTAACTCCCAAAATGTCTCCAGACATTCATAAATATATTCTTCATTTATATTCTTCAAATACACATGTAGATATATATATATATATATATATATATATATATATATATATATATATATATATATACAGGATCATAGAAAGTTAGAGACTATCCACTACCCATGTACCCCACTACTTGTATAACTACCCATTATTCCACTATAAACTAAACCACTAATAATAATAATAATAATAATAATAATAATAATAACAATAATAATAATAATAATAATAATAATAATAATAATAATAATAATAATAATAATAATAATAATAATAATAATCATCCACTGTTGTATCAATAACACTGAATAAAGAAAGCTTCTCCAAGCCAAACTTGGATCATCTTCTCCCTATTCTACATACATTTTCATACAAATTCTATACACACTGCCTACATCTCTCTAGAGAATACGAAATAATGAAGGCTCTTAAGTCATGTTCTCCCGGCCATCTACATACTCTCGACCTTTGATACATAACTATTTTTACATACACACGATATACTCCGTACTATTTATACTATCACCATTTGTTCGACTAATTTGTGTTTGATTCGATTAACAAAAACTTAATTCAATCTATTTATACTTATATTTTATAATAATTAAAATTTGTATTTACATACATAAATACACACACATCAGGTCCAACAAGTATGAGAATCACTTCCTAAGTGAAAACACATTATCTAATTTAAGCTATCCATTTTTCTACATCTATGGACTACGGTTGTTGTTAACCCATATTTTATGAAAAGTAGGTGTTATTTTAGGATGAAAAATCATCCATATTGGGCTTCTATGGATATATTTGTCCACAACAATAAACCTTCAACCACCAAATCAGCACAAAATCCATGCATTCCTATTCCTGCTACACCACATACCTCATCACCATTATGTACTTTGAATCCAAATTTTCAAAATATAATCTCCTTCATTTTTTACCACCAATGCACACCTTTACTATTAGTAATGCACAAGTTTTACTCATGTTTTGTAAGTGCACACCCTATATCCTAACCCCTAAACCCCACGATATTGACTACACGGTGGACCGTGGACAATCAATGCACATCCCAAAGTCTGACGACGCACTGCACTGAGTGCACCAATGCACATCCCCACATTTTATGATTCACCACCTTCGCAAAATATCCCCATTAAAAAAACAAAAACAAAATGCATAAACTCACGCTGCTACTATATATACATGGTGCCCTCCAACCTGTTAGCAATATTATTATTATTATTATTATTATTATTATTATTATTATTATTATTATTATTATTATTATTATTATTATTAATAGTCTACTGTTATTGTTATTATGTTGACTAGTCTTTGTAATAGGCTTAGTCTTCCTAGTTGATAGGGGTTACTTACATAGAGTTGTTATGCTATTAGTATTGTAATCCTTATCATTGTTTACGTTGAATGTTGAACTGGTTATCTCATCTGGTATCATTCAGGGAATTTTATTTTCTCTCTCCTCTCACCACCCTCGGTTGATCCTCTCCCCAAAACAATCGACTCATCGTCGATATGTCCACCAATTCTTCCGACCGTACCATAACCGCTGGTGGAACCCCCTCTCCGGCCTCAAGCCAAAACTCCCTAAACAGTGCCCATCACTTTGTTTCGATAAAACTCACGTATCGAAACTTTTTATTTTGGAGAACCCAATTGGTTCCCTTTTTACGTGGCCAAGAGCTCATGGGATTTGTCGATGGTGAAAACCCATGTCCTCCCGCAATGATAGACGCTCCTCCGGCCACCGGTGAGTCTACGGCGTCAACCTCTGCTCCGGTCCCAAACCCGGCGTATAAGGCGTGGATCAAACAAGACCAGACGCTGCTTTCCCTTCTCATCTCATCCCTCTCGGATGAGGTGATGCATTTGGCGGTCGGCAAATCCACCTCCAAAGATGTCTGGGAGGCGATCAGTGCCGGACTCGGCAGCTCTACCCGTGCACGAACACTGGGACTCCTCGGCCAATTTCACGGACTGCGACAAGGCGACAGCAGTACGACAGAATATTTAGGCCGCGCCCAATTGTTGGTCGAGGACCTCGCGCATGCCGGTCGTCCTATATCTCTGGATGAACAAAATATGTTTGTCCTTCGGGGTTTACGTCCGGAATATCGTGCGATGGCTTCATCGCACACGGCGTCGGGAACGACTGTCACAATTCCGCAAATTGCGGATTATCTGCGCGCCCAGGAATTCCTCCACGCCGATGATTTTCCTGCAGGTTCTGACCATGCTGCACCGACTGCCTTTTACGCTGGCAGAGGCAGAAACGGCGGTCGCGGCAGTGGAAATTCTGGAAGCTACAATTCTGGACGCGGAAGTGGAGGTCGCGGCAGTGGCGGTCACGGCAGAGGCGGCAGGGGCGGTCGGAATGGTGGCCACGGCGGCGCTCCTCATTGTCAAATCTGCCGGGCACAAGGGCACACAACGGTTTATTATTACAAACGTTATGCCCCGCAGCAGCCGGCATAGGCTAATCTTGTTGTTCCCGGAGAAGAGGACGTGAGTACGGCTGCTTCTGGTTGGTTCCCGGATACGGGGGCCACCGTCCTTGCCACGCCAGACGCATCTATGATGATGCAATCTGATGAATATACGGGTGGTGATGTGCTGCGCGTTGGTAATGGCGCAGGTTTGACGATCTCACGAGTTGGCCATGCTTCTATACCGTCTTTGTCTAAAACACTAAATCTAACCAATGTCTTACATGTTCTTAAACTTTCCGTCCCGTTATTATCTGTTTATCGTTTAACGAATGATAATCGTGTTTTTGTTGAATTTCACAAAGATTGTTTCATTGTGAAGGATTCGGTCACTCGGGTGGTTCTGCTTAGGGGTTTCACAGCGGGCGGTTTATACAAGCTCCTAGTTTCACAGTCTCAGTTTGCTTTTCTCACATCCCGTGCTACACCGGTTGTCTGGCACCGCAGGTTGGGCCATCCCCATGCGCATGTTCAGAATCAAGTCCTAAAACTGTGTCCAGTTACACCTAATAAACACCACACCGGGCGGGTTGTGCACTTCATGTCAACTTGGCAAGTCATCAAGATTTCCTCTAGATAGAGTTTCATTATCTAGTAGTAATGTGTTAGATTTAATTTATACGGACATATGGGGTCTGGCTCCTGTAATCTCTACTAGTGGATTTCGCTATTTCCTGCTTTTCGTAGATGATTATTCTCGATTTTGTTGGTTTTATCCCCTACGGATAAATCTGATATATATAAAAGTTTCGAGTCGTTTCGAGTCATGGTAGAACGCCAGTTTTCGCGTTCTATCAAATCTGTTCAGTCTGACTTAGGCGGAGAATACCGCAAGTTACATCATACATTCGAAAAGTTAGGCATTATTCACCGCCAATCATGTGTGTATACGCACGAACAAAATGGCAGAGTTGAACGTAAGAATCGTAACATAGTCGAAACAGGACTAGCTTTGCTAGCCGAATGCTGTGTCCCGCAACAATACTGGGACTATTCTTTTGAAACAGCAACAACTCTAATCAATTATTTACCCACTACAGTCTTAAAATCTGAAAGCCCATACACTCGTCTCTACAAAACCAAGCCACCATACACTTTTCTCCGTGTCTTCGGGTGCCGTTGCTATCCCTATCTTAGGCCCTACAACCGACATAAGATGGATTTTCGCTCGGCGCCCTGTGTCTTCCTAGGTTATCCACCTTTCTTTAGGGGGTATAGGTGCATGGATTTAACAAGTGGGAAAGTCTATATCTGTCGTCATGTACGGTTTGATAAGACTGTTTTCCCTTTTTCAAAATTAACAGCTACAAATGCAGATTCAATGATCTCTGCCGCTCCACCTTGGGCTGCTGCTCCAGTCATAACTCACTCATCCCCCACGGCCATAATCGACTCCGGTTTACAAAGGCCGCTGAGTCCAATGCCTTTGGCGCAAGAATCAACTCCCTTAGCTATTGAAAGGCCTGTCATGGCCGTGACTCGCAGAAAGCGGGCAGCTAGGACTGAGCCACAAGATCGTGGTCATACTATGCGCCTGCGTCACATGACTCGGGGAACTGGGGAAGAGTTTCAAGCTCTCAGCGCTATTACTGAGCCCACCTGCTACTCACAGGCAGTTGGGCACCCAGAGTGGCGTGATGCGATGGACCAGGAGTTCAACGCTCTGTTACACAACAATACTTGGGCTCTTGTACCTCCCAGACCAGATATGAACATCATCGGGTGCAAGTGGGTGTTTCGTACCAAACGCACCGCTGATGGTTCGGTTGAGCGGTACAAAGCTCGGCTAGTAGCAAAGGGGTTCAATCAGGTGGCTGGTGAAGACTTCTTCGACACTTTTAGCCCTGTGGTTAAGCCGACTACAGTGAAGCTCCTTTTTTCGCTAGCTGTGTTACATAATTGGACTCTGAGACAACTCGATGTCCATAATGCCTTTTTAAATGGGCACTTGGCGGAAACGTCTATATGAAGCAGCCCCCGGGTTATGAAGACCCGACACACCCGGATCACGTGTGTCACTTACAGCGATCTTTGTATGGGCTCAAGCAAGCCCCCCGGGCATGGTTCAAAAGATTGCATGACAATTTAATCTCTGCAGGTTTTTTATCATCGAAGACAGATGTATCTCTCTTCCATTACTCTTCTGCTGCCTCACGCGTATACTTACTAGTATACGTTGACGATATCATTATGATGGGAAATGACATGTCACTCATTAAATCACTCCTGCATCGGCTTTCATTGACTTTTAAAATCCGAGATCTTGGAACACCCGGGTTCTTTCTCGGCATTGAAACCGTTAAAGACTGACACAGGGCTCATGTTGTCCCAACGCAGGTATATGAAAGATATTTTGGCCCGAGCGGGCATGACTGACTGCAAACCACTAGCTACCCCGGCTGCGGTTTCTCATTCTGCCTCATCTACCACTGACGCACATGACAACCCGACTAAATATC